ATATGGAAACGTTCGGCATTCATCCTTTGGCTATTGGGCTGGGATCAAAGTGTAGTATCTGTTCTTTTCATCTCTAACGGTACGGGTAATATTAACCATTTCCTTATATGGAAGCGTTCAACATTCATCCTTTGGCTATTGGGCTGGGATCAAAGTGTAGTATCTGTTCTTTTCATTTCTAACGGTACGGGTAATATTAACCATTTCCTTATATGGAAGCGTTCGACATTCATCCTTGGCTATTGGGCTGGGATCAAAGTGTAGTATCTGTTCTTTTCATCTCTAACGGTACGGGTAATATTAACCATTTCCTTATATGGAAACGTTCGGCATTCATCCTTTGGCTATTGGGGTGGGATCAAAACCATGTTAGTATCTGTTTCTTTTTCATCTCTAACGGTACTGGGTTATATTAACCATTTCCTTATATGGAAACGTTCGACATTCATCCTTTGGCTATTGGGCTGGGATCAAAGTGTAGTATCTGTTCTTTTCATCTCTAACGGTACGGGTAATATTAACCATTTCCTTATATGGAAGCGTTCGACATTCATCCTTTGGCTATTGGGCTGGGATCAAAGTGTAGTATCTGTTCTTTTCATCTCTAACGGTACGGGTAATATTAACCATTTCCTTATATGGAAGTTCGTTCGACATTCATCCTTTGGCTATTGGGCTGGGATCAAAACCATTAGTATCTGTTCTTTTCATCTCTAACGGTACGGGTTATATTAACCATTTCCTTATTTGGAAACGTTCGACATTCATCCTTTGGCTATTGGGGTGGGATCAAAGTGTAGTATCTGTTCTTTTCATCTTTAACGGTACATTCATCCTTTGGCTATTGGTAATATTAACCATTTCCTTATATGGAAACGTTCGGCATTCATCCTTTGGCTATTGGGGTGGGATCAAAGTGTAGTATCTGTTCTTTTCATCTTTAACGGTACGGGTAATATTAACCATTTCCTTATATGGAAACGTTCGACATTCATCCTTTGGCTATTGGGCTGGGATCAAAGTGTAGTATCTGTTCTTTTCATCTCTAACGGTACGGGTAATATTAACCATTTCCTTATATGGAAGCGTTCGACATTCATCCTTTGGCTATTGGGCTGGGATCAAAGTGTAGTATCTGTTCTTTTCATCTCTAACGGTACATTCATCCCTTTGGTTATAAAGTTAACCATTTCCTTATATGGAAACGTTCGGCATTTATCCTTTGGCTATTGGGGTGGGATCAAAACTGTAGTATCTGTTCTTTTCATCTCTAACGGTACGGGTTATATTAACCATTTCATCATTCATTATATGGAAACGTTCGGCGTTCAATTCATCCTTTTGGCTTCATCCTTTGGCTATTGGGGTGGGATCAAAGTGTAGTATCTGTTCTTTTCATCTCTAACGGTACGGGTTATATTAACCATTTCCTTATATGGAAACGTTCGACATTCATCCTTTGGCTATTGGGGTGGGATCAAAGTGTAGTATCTGTTCTTTTCATCTCTAACGGTACGGGTAATTAACCATTAACCATTTCCTTATATGGAAACGTTCGGCATTCATCCTTTGTCTATTGGGGGGGTGGGATCAAAGTGTAGTATCTGTTCTTTTCATCTCTAACGGTACGGGTAATATTAACCATTTCCTTATATGGAAACGTTCGACATTCATCCTTTGGCTATTGGGGTGGGATCAAAGTGTAGTATCTGTTCTTTTCATCTCTAACGGTACGGGTTATATTAACCATTTCCTTTGGCTATTGGGCTTTGGAAGCGTTCGACATTCATCCTTTGGCTATTGGGCTGGGATCAAAGTGTAGTATCTCTTCTTTTCATCTCTAACGGTACGGGTTATATTAACCATTTCCTTATATGGAAACGTTCGGCATTCATCCTTTGGCTATTGGGGTGGGATCAAAGTGTAGTATCTGTTCTTTTTTTCATCTCTAACGGTACGGGTAATATTAACCATTTCCTTATATGGAAACGTTCGGCATTCATCCTTTGGCTATTGGGGTGGGATCAAAGTGTAGTATCAGTTCTTTTCATCTCTAACGGTACGGGTAATATTAACCATTTCCTTTATATGGAAGCGTTCGACATTCATCCTTTTGGCTATTGGGGTGGGATCAAAGTGTAGTATCTGTTCTTTTCATCTCTAACGGTACGGGTTATATTAACCATTTCCTTATATGGAAACGTTCGACATTCATCCTTTGGCTATTGGGCTGGGATCAAAGTGTAGTATCTGTTCTTTTCATCTCTAACGGTACGGGTTATATTAACCATTTCCTTATATGGAAACGTTCGGCATTCATCCTTTGGCTATTGGGGTGGGATCAAAGTGTAGTATCTGTTCTTTTCATCTCTAACGGTACGGGTTATATTAACCATTTCCTTATATGGAAACGTTCGACATTCATCCTTTGGCTATTGGGCTGGGATCAAAGTGTAGTATCTGTTCTTTTCATCTCTAACGGTACGGGTTATATTAACCATTTCCTTATATGGAAACGTTCGACATTCATCCTTTGGCTATTGGGCTGGGATCAAAGTGTAGTATCTGTTCTTTTTCATCTCTAACGGTACGGGTAATATTAACCATTTCCTTATATGGAAACGTTCGGCATTCACCCTTTGGCTATTGGGCTGGGATCAAAGTGTAGTATCTGTTCTTTTCATCTCTAACGGTACGGGTAATATTAACCATTTCCTTATATGGAAGCGTTCGACATTCATCCTTTGGCTATTGGGCTGGGATCAAAGTGTAGTATCTGTTCTTTTCATCTCTAACGGTACGGGTTATATTAACCATTTCCTTATATGGAAACGTTCGACATTCATCCTTTGGCTATTGGGCTGGGATCAAAGTGTAGTATCTGTTCTTTTCATCTTTAACGGTACGGGTAATATTAACCATTTCCTTATATGGAAACGTTCGGCATTCATCTTTTGGCTATTGGGGTGGGATCAAAGTGTAGTATCTGTTCTTTTCATCTCTAACGGTACGGGTAATATTAACCATTTCCTTATATGGAAACGTTCGGCATTCATCTTTTGGCTATTGGGGTGGGATCAAAGTGTAGTATCTGTTCTTTTCATCTTTAACGGTACGGGTAATATTAACCATTTCCTTATATGGAAACGTTCGGCATTCATCCTTTGGCTATTGGGGTGGGATCAAAGTGTAGTATCTGTTCTTTTCATCTCTAACGGTACGG